CAATCAGAAACCACACCAGCATCGCTGACTTCCTGCTCCTGGGCTTCTCTGAACACCCAGAGCAGCCGCCCCTCCTGTTTGGGCTCTTCCTGGGCATGTACCTGGTGACCGTGTTGGGGAACCTGCTCATCATCCTGGCCGTAGTTGCTGACCAGCACCTCCACACCCCCATGTACTTCTTCCTGGCCAACCTGTCCCTCATCGATACCTGCTTCTCCTGCACCATTGTCCCCAAGGTGCTGGTGAACATCCTCACACAACACCACACCATCTCTCACACTGGGTGCCTCGTGCAGATGTACTTCTTCATGGCACTGGCCCTGCTGGACGACTTCCTGCTGGCCGTGATGGCATACGACCGCTACGTGGCCATCTGTCTTCCTCTCCACTACACCACGATCATGTGTCCCCAGCGCTGCCTGCTGCTGGTCGCCGCATCCTGGCTCTGCGCGCACCTCCTGGCCTTCTCCCTCACCCTCCTCATGTCTCAGTTCTCCTTCTGTGCCTCCCATTCCATCCCACACTTTTTCTGTGACCTTCTCCCTCTCCTCAAACTTGCCTGCTCAGACACCCAGATCTTTCAGGTCACGATGTTTGCTGAAGCAGCCCTCTCGGGTGTGGTCCCTCTCGCCTGTGTCCTGGTCTCTTATGCCCACATCATGCACACCATCCTCAAGGTCCCCTCGGCTGGGGGGAAGCACAAAGTCTTCTCGACCTGTGGCTCTCACCTGACAGTGGTCACTCTCTTCTACGGAACTGTCTTTCTGGTGTATTTCCAGCCCTCATCCTCCTACTCGGCAGACACTGGAATGGTGGCATCTGTGGTATACACGATGGTCACCCCCATGCTGAACCCCTTCATCTACAGCCTGAGGAACAGGGACATAAAGGGGGCTCTGTGGAGGCTCTCAGGCTGGAGAAGATGCTCTATTCTGTAAAGGGTCCTGCCCCAGACTGGAAGGTCAGGCTCTCTGAAATGCCTTCTCCCTGCACTTCTCCACTGCAATTTTGAAAACTCAAGCTCAAGGTAGGATGGATGCTCGGTGTTCACGAGCAGGTTCAATAAACAGAGAATGCCTGGCAGCACAGAAGTAGAGTAAGATCAATTGGCCAAGGATACAGCTCAACATGGAAGAAGGAGTGACCAGCAATGGCCAGCAATCCCTACAGGGTGACTTGATTAGTGGGTATAAGCGTCCAAGCAGATTCAAACCACAAAGTGGGAATTTCCAAAAGAACATCAGACAGAACTCAGGTTCTGGGATGAAGGCAGGTATCAGCTCAGTCTATGACTAACAGGTCCCCCTCACCTATAAGCAATGCTCACAAGAGATGGAAGGGTCAAGTGCTCCGAGTTTCAGGGACCATTTCCAAGCCCAGCTTTGGAAGCAATTCACTGAGAGGGGCTAACCTACACACAGAGAAGGCTGAACCAAGAAAACACATTCTTTGCTGGGACTGAGAGAACAAGAAGAATTCTAGGGGAAAAACTGGGCACAGAGAGTTCAGAGGACTGGCCCCAAAACACACTACAGGGATCAGATCTTAGATTGTGACAAAGAGTGATTATTAGTTATGGACAAGTCCTTGATTCTTTGGTTTTTAAACTCTGGGTTATTTCATTTGTCTCAACTGCAGAATAATACATGCTCATTATAGTAAATTTGTAAAACCTAGACAAATAGTAAAAAGGAAAACATGTACTATCCCTCCTTATAAAGAAAATTATTGATAATACTTTACAGTATTTCCCACTTAGCTTTTTCTAATGACTTTTTGTCTTATTATGTCAAGAAAATACTGCTGGTACAATTATATATACTTTTTTTGCTTAATCTTATAACATGAGTTGTCTCCATATTATTACCTCTTCCTGAACATTTGGCTCTCTGAGATTATGTCACAAAAAACTTCCATGATGTATATGGCGTTTCACCATGGTTGGATGATTAGGGGGTTCTGAAGCTTTCACTGTTACAAATAATGATGCAGTCAGAAAGGATGAACACCCAACTTTTACATCAGCATGGATGGGACTGGAGGAGATTATGCTCAGTGAAAGAAGTCAAGCAGAGAAAGTCAATGATCATATGGTTTCACTTATTTGTGGAACGTAAGGAATAGCAGGGAGGACATCAGGAGAAGGAAGGGGAAAGTGAAGGGGGGGAAATCAGAGGGAGAGATGAACCATGAGAGACGATGGACTCCGAGAAACAAACTGAGGGTTTCAGAGGGGAGGGGGGTGGGGGGATGGGTTAGCCCGGTGATGGGTATTAAGACGGGCACATCACGTACTGCATGGCGCACTGGGTGTTATACGAAAACAGTGAACCGTGGATCACTACATCAAAAACTAATGATGTATTGTATGGTGACTAACATAATAAAGTAAAATAAAAAAAAACTATGATGCAAATAAATTTGCAAATGCAAATGCAAAAAAAGAAATGATTTTCCTATATTCATAGTCTGTTACATTTAATATTTTCAAAAGTAGAATATCGAAGTAGTACCTTTTGAGGGCCCTTTAACCATTCTGCCAAGATGCTCAAATGATTTAGAGTGCCCATTAGACTACATCCTCTCCATATTTTGATGTTCACATTTTCTCCTTAATTATAACTGATATGATAGCCAAAATGGTATCTCTTTGACTTAGTTTTAATTTCTTTGATTCTTGGTGAAGGAACTGTTTACCTGAGTCTGTTAACTATTTTTTTTCATTTCATTCTTTTTTAAGTTTTTTCTTTTTTTGTTATTATAATTCCAGTGTAATTAACATACAGTGCTATATCATTTTTAAATTGAAGTGTGGTTGACAAATAGTATGTAGTATAATAATATTAGTTTCAGATGTATGGCATAGTAATTGGACAACCATATACACCACAAAATGCTCCCCACAATAAATTTATATTTGAGAGTTGGGAAACTCAGCTAGAAATAATCTTAGGAGGAAAAGAAATCATAATGGCTATTAGAAAATACTGTTATCTGAATGAAAACCAATTATGAAAAATTATTTACAAGAAATTCTTCACAGAAAAATTAGTTATAAGCAAATGTTAGAAAAGCAAAGGCTATAAAATACTAAGCCTAGAATCCATCCGAAAAAGAATATCAATCCAAGCAAGAAAACAGATGAGAACAAAATATGATAAAATAGAATAAAACATACAACAGAGAAGACCTACAAAGCTAAAAGATATTTTGAAAAGATAACTTACATTCCTCTGATGAAAATGGTTATATGGGGAAAAGACCAATCATCAATAAGAAGAAAGAAAAGAGTGACATTACCTCTGATATTCAAATAAAGAGGTTATTATGAACAATGTTATATACATTTTAAAATTTAGATTAAATAGACAAACTTCTAGGAAAACATAATTCATCAAAGCTAATATAGTAAGAAAAAGAAAACCTAAATAAATCTATAACCATTGGGAAAGCTTCATTAGCAGCCCTTCCTTAAAGAAATATTCAGGCCCAAATGGCTGCAAGAGTGAGTTTCTATACACAATTCAAGAAGGAAAACTTTTCAGGCTTGCAAACCCTTTCAAAAAAAAATAGAGAATGAAGGAACACTCACCCAATTCCCTTTATGAGATTAACACAAACTTCATACCAAAAGCTGACAAGAACATTGCAAACAATTACAACAAGAAGTTGATCTCCACGAAGATTAATACATCAAAGAAATTTATAAAATAAATGCACCAATTCAAAGTAAAATATTAGCAATACAATCACAACAATGCAGAAGAAAATAAGACGCATCATTTCCCAGTTGAGTTTTCCCAGGAAGGAAAGGTGGATTTCAAATTCAAAACTCAACCAAAGTAAGCCACCATATTTATACAGCAAAGGACAAAAATCATCTGATGCAAGAAAAACATCTCAACAGATGGAAGAAAAAACATGTCATAAACTTCAACATCCACTCACTGGAAAGTCCTCTTGGCAAAATGGGGATGGAAGAAAACTTTCTTAATCTGAAAAAGTTGCCTTTTTTTTTAAACATACAGCATATATAATACATAGGGTTATACATTTAAATCTCTGCTATCTAAACAGGGAACAAGACAGAATACCAGCTCACACCACAGCTCTCCCACACTCTCCCTGAGGTCTCTTCAGGGCAGTCAGAGGAGAGAAAAGAAAGGAAGGATGTAAATTCTCTACAGGAAGAAAGGCTGCATTTTGTTTACAGATAACATTTCCATACAACTGCCATTCAAAAGAGTCTATGTAGGAATCATTGGAATAATTAGTCATCATCCTGCAAAAACAAATACAAAATAAACACACACACACCCACTTCCTTACATAAAAGAAAAATAATTCCAGGTGCACTGAAGAACTGATTGGGACAAGCAAAATTATAAAGTTTTTACAGAAGAATGCTGGAAAATATCTTCCTGAACTCACGAAAGAAAGGACCTCTTCAACCAGACACAAATAAAGCACTCGGAAAAAAAAAAAACTGATGTATTCAATCGGTTAAAATAAAAATACTGATGTCGCAAACAGCTCTATAAACAGTGAAATGACAAACTGGAGAGAGAGGAAATGTTTATCATGTATATAAATCCACAAAGGACTAGGATCTAGAATAAATAGTTCTACAGAGTTCTATAAATAAATCAGAATATTTAACTGATACAGATAACCAAATGGAAAAATGAAAAAAAAAAAAATGAAACAAGCAGTTTCAAAATAAGGAAATAAAAATACTGATGAGCGGCACCGGGGTGGCTCACTCCAGCCTCCCACTCTTGATTTCCCCTCGAGTCAGGATCCCCGGCTGGTGAGAGCAAGCCCTGGGCCAGGCTCCAACCACAAGCCTGAGTCAGCTTCTCTCCTCCCTGTCTCCCTAGTCCTTCCTCTGCTCCCTTCTCTCTTGCTCTTTCACTCTCTCTCTAAATAAATAAATCTTTTCTTAAGTGCTAAGGAGTATTTATAAGGAACTCAATCTCATAATTAATCACTGAAATATAAAAATCAAACCATCAGGAAAAGGACCCCCAAACCACACACACAGCAACATGACCCCAGTAGAAAAGGCTGAAACCACCACGAGCCATCCAGGATGTGGTCCAACGAGTACTCTCACACATTGCTGGTACAAGTGCAATTTGGGACAATCTCCTTGGAGGTCAGTTTCACAATGTGTACTAAACTGAAGGACATGGACATCTTCGAACCCAGCGTATGGGTATGTACACAAGAGAAAGGAATGCACGTGTGCACCAAGACTCGGGTGCCGGAATGATCATCCCGGTATTATTCCTAATAGCCAAAGAGCCAGCTATGCCTTCCACACTAGACTGCATGAGTAATATGTGGTGTTGTCCTACAATGAAGCAACTCACAGCAATGGTAATGGACACACTGCCACTATACACACCTATCTAGATGAAGCTCGCATAAGTCAAAATAGCAAACAAAAGGAGCCAGAGAAAAGAATACACAGTGGATGAGCGCATTCACTTAAAGTTCAGAAACAGGCAAAGCTAAAAGAAACTGTTAAAAGAAGATAGGGATTATTTTACTTCCAGAAGGAGAGAAAAGTCATGATTAGCAGGACACGCAAAACAAGCTTCAGACGTGCTGGCCATGTTTGACTTCTAAATCTGGGAAGTCATACAGAGGTGACTGGTTTCTAATATTTCCTTGAGGGGGAGTGTTGTGTTTTGCACAGTTTTCTGTATGTCTTACCCTGCAAGGATTAATTTTTAAAAATACACACCGTGATTACTACTACATAGGCACGAGGATATCTATCTACATTTCTATCATACAAAAATCTCTCATGAGAGAAGGATTTTCTGTACGTTATCAGTGAACTCATTGAACAGCAAACCATGATCTGAATTTGCACAAGGGTATTGAGCAATGTGCCTTTGTAGGTGCTCAGTGTGAATACACATTCCTT